GCTTCGCACACAGCCTTTTGGAAGAGTGCATAGAGCTCTCCACACCTGTGAACAGGCAGAACGTTACTAACTAAACGCGTAGACACTGTGGCGCACCACATCATCCACCTCTTTTGGTGCTAAACATGTTGCTTCAGTGTATGTGTGTGAGTCGGGACTGCAAGCAGTTCTGAGCGCTGGCGGGGGCCCCCAGGAGGCACTTGTGGACCAACTGAGTGGGTGAGTGAGGGGTGGGAGGTGGAGCTGCGGGCTTTAGGCTCCGGCCCACTTTGAGCCTACTGATCTCACCTGCAGGTGCCCGCCTCCTTGCCTGGGGGAGACCAAGAGCAGACCTGGGCCCATCTTGGCTCTCGGGGCCACCTTGAGTGGGGTGCCCTGACAGGCCCGACTCTTCCGCCCCTACACGAAGGTGCTCACAGTCCTTGCTCCACAGAGCCATGCTGGGGATGGCCACTACTTATTGTCACTGTAGGGCATCTAACCAAAAACATCATCCTAAACTAAGACTGCTCCCAGACAGAGAAGGACCACCCTCCCCTCACGGCCTACACCGAAGGCAAAGCCAGCTCTGTATTCCTTTGATGCCACGGAGGCCATTCAGCTATGTCACATAGGTTATTGCAGCTTGTGCGGCTCCTTAGTTGCGAGGAGTTCGTTTGTTTCAGAACCTTCAGTCTCCCCAGTTACGCACACTGAGAAGCCATCACTAGGGCTGTGGACCATGCTGTGAGTCTGTTCTACATGTGACATATAGCAGCTTCTTCCTTCAAAGTGTTTCTTCAAGGCAAAGTCCCCGCAGTTCCAGTGGCAGATGGCGTGGCTTTCTGGTGGTGAGATAGTGCTGGGGTGTCCCAGCTGTCACCCAGAGGCTTACCAGTGGCTGCCACCACGTCATCCTCAGCGGGAGGCAGCCTGGGAACACGTTGGAGCTGTCTTCCATGTCCTGCTGCTTCTCCCAAGAGGCAGGAAGGGGTCCTCAGATCTATGAAGAGCTACGTGTAGTCTTACAATTACGAGGCAGGCATCAACAAGGCAACTTAGAAGACCCACAAAAACTGGGTTCTTTGGAGCAGAGCTTTCTTGTCATTAGGCTTCTTGCCCTCGGCCCTTCTGGAGCCCCCACTCACGTCTAGGAGCCAGACCCCTCTTCTGTGGTGGACGCTTCGAGGTTTTATCTTGCTGTGTGGTGCAGGGAAGGTGCTGGCGGCTGTCCGCAGGCTGACAGTGGGGAGCTTTGCTTGGGATCCCGCGGCTTCTGTTTCAGCCTCCCCATGTTACCCATCTTCCCTGGGAGTCAGGTGACTTGCTGGGGTCAGGAATCCTGCAGAGCACTGGCCGCCTGTGTTGGAATGTGTCAGGGAGAGTGTGGTCCAGCTTGATCGGGCAGGAGGTGATGTGCCGGTGCCTGTCCCACACACCTGCCATGCGGGCTGTGCACAGGGTGCGGTGGCCGGAGTTCTACTATAAAAACCAGCACCCCACCCTCTCTTTTCAGAGGCCACCTCTACTGGCTGATTGCTGAAATTCACAGAGGCAGGCGTGTCATTTCAGCCAATTTAATACCTCCACAAGAGTACTATGCTTAAAAATAAGTTATAGCTTCCTTTCTTTTTCATTTTATGTGCATTTTGGGTTCTAATTTTCCAATATATGCTCCAGATTCAGGAGATCAGCACAAAATAGCAAGCCTCTTAACATGCTCGCTTGTGTGATTTTGTGAAATGCAGCACAGCTTTTTAAAGTTTCCTGCAGATAATGGACCAGCCAATACAATGAAAATGGCTAAAAGTTGCCTGCAAGTATTACGTTCTCTTCTTTAGTGTAGGAGGTGCTTCTTAGATTATTATTTTATCACATCAAGCTCCAATTTCCAAACCATCTTTTAATCATAGATACTTTCTGGAAATAGCACTTGCAAGTCACGTGTCCTCTGCGAGAAGCTTTTCGCCAGCTCTCACTGTTCCCCATTTCCTGATGGAATCTGAGGCGCAATCCCAGGACAGCGGCTGGCAGCCCACCAGCCTGGGCGCCCAGCGCGCTCAGCCTCGGCCCCTCACTGCTTCTTCAGAGCAGGGTTCAGCCGCGTGCTGTGGACAACCGCAGAAACGCCCCCTTGGCTTCACGCATGAATTGGGTTCGTGCATTTCAGAGTTGGTGTCAACCCCTGCTTTCCTGCTACGAGGCGAAGTGTGCTCTCCTTTGTACCCATAACCCACTTTGCTATTTCATGAAGGGTATTTTCATCCAGGGGAAAATTCTGCCAGGGGAGAAGCGACCCTCAAGTCGCTTGAGTCGTCACAGCTGAGCTCAACGCCAGTGACTGCTGGGCAGTGCTCCACTGAGCACGCATCTGCCGTGCACGGGGCTGTGCAGAGAGCCCCATGCATTCAGGATTTGCACCATCTGAGCATGGGTTCAAGTGTGCTTCCTATCTGGGTTTCGTAGCAAATAAATAAGTGTCCATCTGCTAATTATGCTGAATCATGTAACATGACATTTTATTAAGACAAGTTGAAATGCTTTTAATTAGTTTGATAATTATGTTGCTTTATACAATATTTAAAAACATGCAATTTGGCAAGCGAATACCTCCTAGCTCATAATTGCTTAGAAAAAAGTAATACTATTTATCTGCAGACGAATCCTTCATATGGACTCATCTGTAAAACTTGGCCGCCTAAGAGACATTAACAGTCGGATTCTGAGTAAAGATCTCAGATAGCTGGCTGTGTGCCCCTTGGCGGGCTTGGGAAAATGCACCACAAAGCACTTAATAACCATCAACTTTTCAAAAGTCCAACTCCAAACTGAAAGCAGTCAAACTCTTATTACTGATGAAAGCAATTAATTTGGGTGGCTAATAAATAAAAAGTCCCCTAGGTGATTTTTAGAAACTGTTCTTCCCTGAATTATCCAGTATTAGGTGATGTGCACCCTTCGTGCATCTCAGGAAATCTGAGCAGCGGACAGAGAGGAAATGAAGGAGGCAGTCTGTGGCGTCTTTGTCACACGCAGGTGGGCAGTGCCCGGGCCAGCCTGGCACGAGGATAGGATTGTGAGTGCACAGGGGCTCCAGCGCCCCACGCCTGGGGTCTGCGCGAGGTTTGTACAGCAGCACGACTGCTTAGCCTTGGGCTAGCGTCTGGGAGCCTGACTTGGGGAGCCCCCACCTGCAGCGATTGGGCTGCCTGTGCTGCTGCTGCTTGTGCAGCAAGGAGCTCACACTGAGCGCATGCCTGTCCTTCCAAAGGCCAGGACCCGGGGACCTGCTGGCAGGGCTGCGTGCGTGAGCAGTGCCCCAGGGAGCTCCAAGAGCCGCATTTCTGACAGGCTTCCCTGGCCCGCGGTGCTTCAGAGGTGCTGTTCTCCTAGTCCCTTTGGGTGGTTAAGCAGCAGGTGCCACCCTCTGACAGTCTCGGAGACGGGAGGTCCAGGCCAGGGTGCGGCCAGGCCAGCTCCTGGGGAGTGCACGCCCCGGCTTCTGGCTGGGAGAGCCAGCGGCCCCATCTCCACGTAGGAGGATGCTGGTGATACGCGTGATGCTGCACCTTCAGAAGAGTTCACTCCTAAGGCCACCAGCCTGGGTCCAGGGTTCCACCAGGCCTGCTGGGGGATGCTGTCAGCTCATTGCTGGAGACCACGGGCGTCATCCCTGGTGGCCGAAGCCTTGGGGACCTGCGCCTGGGTCCCTCCCCGCGCCTCTCCTTTGCTGGCTGTGCCCTGCATCCTCTGCCGTAATGAAGACCAACTGTGAGTGCAGCTGTGTGCAAGGCCTTGGGACCCAGGTGTAAATCTCCAGTCCTAGGGCCGCCTTGGGGCTTCCACAGCACCCCTGGGGTCCCAGTGCTAACAGCTAGAAAGCTCCCTCCGCATGATGTTTAGGTTGGCTCGACCATCTGTAAATACTGAGGTGAGAGTTTTAGGTCAGCTTTCATCTTTTTGAAAGAAAGTTGATGGGAAGCCCAGCAATTTTTCCTGGGCCAGGCTTGAGTGTCTGAGGCTGCTGGCCAGGCTCCGCGGGCAGGAGGCGCTGCTCCCTTCTGGCCCCGCCCCGCCCGCCCCTCCCTGCGGTCCTTTGCTCTCAGCTCCGCAGCGCTCTTCTGTGCTTCCACGCGTGGGCGGCACCCAAGTTCCCTTGCAAATCCTGAAGAAATTTCTTCCTCAGCTTTCTGGGAACTGGTTAAAGTGCTACTAAAGACTCTTAGAAAAACTGATATATAGGTTTAGCCACATTTAATAATGACTTTAAGTTTTTATAATATGACGGATTCTGAACTTAAATGCAAATTTATGTGTCCATAATAGCCTTAAGAAAATTAAAATGGACAGTGTGCATATCCAAACGAATGAGCCGTGCTGACTGAAGAAGCCGAAAGCATTCGTGCTCTCCTCCTCGGCTCGCATACATCTCCCCGGCCGCCTGGCACGTACAGCTGGCGAGCCGCAGGCAGGCCTTCCTTCCGGGGAAAGCCTCTGCGCCAGTCCCCGTACCGGTGCCGTCGCTGGCGGCCCTTGCAGCTGGGGGGACTCTGCACGCTGGGCGCTCGGAGCTGGGCTCCCCTCCTCCCACGCTTCCATCCTCTCTCAAGACTCCAGATGCTTCCTGCGTGCAGCGCCGCGGAAGCGACCGCGTGGGGTAAGGGAGGCGAGACGCACCGCGTCCGCTGCGGCCGGCGCGCTGCTCGCTGAGCACTTTCTCCGTACTCCGGGTGGGGTTCCCCGCGTCCCACGGCTGCGCGTGTGCTCGCCTGTGGTGCCGTGCCCCGGACACGCCCACGGCCAGCGGGCAGCGTGGGCCCAGGGCAGGTGGCGTGAGACGCGCCGGAGCTGAGAGCGCGGCGCTGAGGACGCTCGCCGCCGCCCAGAGTGTGCGGCCGCTGCCCGCGGAGCCACGCGCCCCCTGCGGGGTTGTGGCGCTGAGGTGTGGAGACCACCGAAGCGGCCCTGCCCGCCCGCCTCCGCGCTCTCTTCGGCGCTCACGGCCCCTTTCTCCCCTGCAGGCATTGTCATCATGATGTCCCTGTGCGAGGAAGTGCACGTGTACGAGTACATCCCGTCCGTGCGGCAGACGGAGCTCTGCCACTACCACGAGCTCTACTACGACGCGGCCTGCACGCTGGGCGCCTACCACCCGCTGCTCTTCGAGAAGCTGCTCGTGCAGCGCCTCAACACGGGCTCGCAGGCCGACCTGCACCGCAAGGGCAAGGTGGTGCTGCCTGGCTTCCGGGCGGCCCGGTGCCCCGGAGAGGCCCGCGCCTAGGAGGGCACCGGGAGCCCCCGCACGGAGAGGCGCCGCGCCGTCCTCGGGCCGCAGAGCGCGCTGGAGGCTGGATCCAGGCCGCACGGAGCGGGCCCTGCGCTGCGCCGAGGCAGGAGGCCACGAGGGCTGTCCCCTCCAAGCCACTGAGTAGTTCTAGTGCTTTGAGTACAGAAATGGAACTTTACAGAAAGCACTCAAAAAAGAAGTAAGGAAAAGACCAGATAGAAATGAGAGCTCGCGTGCCTCGCGAAGTGCTGGCCTTATAGGTCAGGGCTGCCCCGATCGGAATGGCCAGGACTGTGGACCTCACTGCTGCTGGAGACCGAGAGGGGTTCTGTCTAGAACCACCCCGGCGGAGGTGGGTGGAGCTGTCCTGACGCACACAGCACCTTCAAGGCCCGCTGTTGTCTGCGCGCAGCATCCTCGAGCAGAGGAGCTGGACAGCACAAAGCCCTGTGGGTCAGGGTGTGAGTTCCGGCTCTGCCTCCCCTGACCGCCCCGCGCTCTGCTCCCTGTATCAGGACCCGGTGCTGATAGCTGGCCACTCCAGAAACAGCCGGACCCTGAGGACACCCCCAGGAGGCCTTGTATTTCAGGACTCACCTGCTGCGTCAGTCTAGGCAGCGTCTCCAGGGTCACCCAGTGTCCCAGGTGGTGGCCTTTCTACCTTAAGTCCCTGGCCTGCAGTTCCACCCCCAGCTGGCACATGTGGCAGTGGTGTGGCCCTGCAGGGAACACCAGGGACACCCTGCCCTTCTTCTCTGGGATTTTAGCAGCTGCCACACGCCTGACAACCACTTCTCCCCGTTGAGTGCGTCAGAGTCCAGCCTGCTTCCACAGGGGTGTCATCTGTTAGCAGCATGACAAAGCCATACAACTAAGCAAAAGTGTGCGACAGCATTGCTCTTTAACGAGGACAATCTGTGCCTGCTCAGACGGAGCAGCAGTCAGGGGAGCCCTCTCGCCATCCTGGCAGCAATGCCGGGGCTTTTAGCCTCAGATCCTATCAGCGATGCACCAGCAATTTTGGTGGCGCAACAGAAACATTGAGGTCCCTCTTTAGACATGCTGGCATTGCATCCCAGTGGTGCAGTGTAGACTTGGGGCAGTGAGGACGGCGGCTGAAGCAGAGACTGCCTCCCTCGCCCTGCGAGCTGTGCAACTGTCAGGAGGGTCTAGTGGCAAAGGCTTGGCTCTGGTGCTCTGAGGAGGCCCTGAGCAAGGACGGTTCATCGAGAGGGCAGCTGCTCCTTGGCTGGTCTGCTCCACAGTCCAGGCGCCCCTGGCCCCACACAGAAGGGGAGCAAGCAGAAAGTTGTGTACATTAGGCATCATCTAAAAACGCCCTGCCCAGGGAGCTTCCTGGCCGAGCCAGTGAGCAGGGCGGGCTGGGTTTGTCTCGTGTGTTAAATAACATCTGAGTAGATACTGTCCCGCCCCCCTCCCTGGTCTGAAAGAGCTGGAACCCCTCAGCTCTCCTGTGGCAGAAACTTCGCAGCGCCGCAAAGAGGTGGCCAGGAAGTGCTCATGGATGAGTTCTTCCCTGAAGCCCGGGGATCTTTCTAGATCCCCCAAGCTTTGCTGTTTTTGATACCCACTGCTATGAAATCTCTTCAGTCTTCCAAGTGGACTCACATGGCCTCCTGCAATTCTGCACAGCCCCCTTTGGCGGCATAATTTGGTTAGCAAATAATTGGGGTCAGTGTAGATACTCAAACTCAGAGCCTCCAACAGATACTTCAAAGAGTTCTAAGCAGCATTCTATCATAGCGCCTGTACTTAAAAAAGAGTACTTTCAGTCACAGTTACAAGAACAGCTGATGAGCATAAAGCAAATTTAATTAAAATTTGTGAATTTATTCTGGCCTTAAAGGGTGCTGGGAATCCGAGCCTGTGGAGTGCTGCGGAGTGGGCCGCACAGTCTGCCGTGGGCTTTGCTCCCCAGCACATCCACTGTCACCTGTCAGTGTGAAGGCTCCTCTTGGTACTCCCGGGTCCCTGGGCTTCTGTGTGTGGAGTGCTGAGGTCCAGCAGATGTGTGGCCTTCCAAGGCGTGGTCAGCAGTGAGTGACCCAATTCCCGCGCCTCTGCCCTTTCCAGGATGTGCTGACACAGGGGGAGCAGCTGAGGACACTGTCGCCTCCTTCTGAGGGCCCAGCTGCTGCTCAGCACTCCCAGCCCTGGCAGCGTCCCCTTCCTCTACATCACAAGGTCATTCAAGCCTTGCTCTGTCTTTGTAGAGACCAACAGAGGCGTCCATCTGCACCTCCATTGTCCCACCCCACCGGGTTTCTCCACTTGTCCCTTTGGGATGGAGTCCACAGGGCCAGGCGAGGAGTCCGTGGACCAAGTGGGATCTGTCTGACAGAGTCAGCCTGTGATGGAAGAGTGTCAGGAGCACCAATGACAGGATCAGAGTTCTGTCCCAAGCATGGCTGCGAATACTCGTCCCCTTCTGCTTAGCTGTGGGAAGACGGACGAGGTGGGGTGGGGTGGGGGTTGGGGGCAGATGCCCGGTGCTCGTGATGTTTCCAGCTTTTTGGTTGTTCAGCCTGCCCTGTGCCACACAGGGGCAGTGCCAGCTCTGTTTACAAACTGCACAGCAGCACACACCCGAGGCTCAGCATGGCTTTGAAGTGGTGTGCATTTCCACTGCGAAATGACTCCCACGATTCCGGCACCCTGTCATTGTTAAACACTTGGTAAATGAAGGGATTCCTCTGATGGCTCAAAGAAATAAAATGTAAATTCTGATTCTTGTTTTATAAAATGATTGAAATCGTTTAGTAAGAGGAAAATAATCCAGTCTGTTCTGTACAGTCTCAATTAACGAAATTTGCAAGACGTTGATATAGTAAGATCCCTACTCTTGGTATAGAAGTGCGCAGGTAGCTATAGTTCTATAATTGTATATATACATAGCTACACACATGGTTGGTTTTATATTGTCGTTTTCATTAACTTTTATGATATAACCTTTACAGCAAAATTTTTAACTTATGTAAACACTAATTTTTTTAAGAGAAAGAAACGAATGTTCTACAGCCTTCTATTAGGAATATGGCCCCCACCCCCTTGCACATTCTAACCCCAACTATGAGAGCCAGAAGGCATAACAGATGTCTCACAGGCACTGTGGAGCTGGCGTCACTGCCGGCCACCGGGTCTTCAGCAGAACCTTGTTGGGAACTCAGAACTCTAGCTCGTCCCTGGCTCCTGCCTTTTCCAAGATTGGGGGGAAACATTATTGGTTCCGTGGAAAATAGCCTAACTGCTTTAATGCGGTGGTGTGGTAGTTGTGACAGCCGTCCTCTTTTGCCCTGGATAAAATACTTGCGAAATCCTTCCAGTGGAAACCAGTGAATTTTTGTAACAGCTTTGGGAATTTTTTGGTATGATAATTTTTAAACTGAAGCGTGTACCCTTCCAATTAATTAAGGCCTGAGGTTTTCCAGAAGTTGCATTTTAGAAGTGTTTGTACACATTTTAACACTTTGATATTTTCTATTTTGGTTTTGTATATTTTTATGTGTACACAGTGTACAGGCTTTTCTTGTAAATAAAACATGTTTTCATTTGTGTAGAGGCTTCTGTTTTCATTCATAGAAGTTATACACACAGAGGAGCAGCACAGACGCGGGCTGTTGACGGTGCGCAGAGCTGCCATCTCACCAGGCGCCGAGTGGGGAGGACGGAGGGCCCACTGTGGACAGTCAGCGCCGATGCAGCCTGGCTGGAACCAGGCTGCTGGGCCTTCTTCCCTTGTTGGCTGTCACGTCCAGCAAAACGGAAGTGGCATATTTTAAGCTCACGTGCCCTGACCTCAGCTCCCGTGCCAGCACTTTGGTTCACTCTCGCCCCTCGCATTTGATGCCAGGGGAAGGTCACGGCCAGTGGCGAGCAGGCCCTGGGGTTTGCATCTTGCCGCAGAAGGGGAAGGTTTGTTGGCCGAAACCCTGGAGAGGCACAGTCGGCCCTTTGCTGGTTGGGAGAGCAGGAGTTCTCGTGTTAGGGAAGCCCCGGGTCGATGTGAGGACAGACGTGAGCCCAGCCCGTCACCCAGGCCACCCTTGTCGGAGAGGATGGCCACCATGTCAGCCGTGGGCACTCTCATGGCCCCGCTGGATGGCTTTTGGCAGGTAAATGTGCAGGGTAGGCCCTGCTGGCTGGAGGGAGAGGGCCAGGGTGGGGCTCTGTGAGGACTGTGGGGCAGCAGGTGTGAGCTCTGGGGACACCAAGGCCAGGAGACTATGTCCTCTGAGATCCGGCACTGCGGGAAGGCTCAGGAAGAGAAGAGCAGTGAGGTCAGATTGGTCACAGAGAAGAAGGGGGCAGGGCTGCCGCGGCTTCAGACTCTGGTGCCCTTATGTGGCTCGCGTTGCATCCTTCAGCTTTACAAAGGTCCAGTGACCTGGTCAGAGGAAACCGCACTTGGTGTTTTGAATTTGGATCTGCCAGGCTGGAGCTGTGTGGTTCAGTCTTCTCTCAAGGCCCTGGCAGCTCCTGTGGGCCCCAGACCACGTGAGGACATGGTGACACCCACACTGCACACTGCAGAGCTGGACCCTAAAGTGCTTTCCAAGTCTGATGAGGTTGACAAGAAGGCAGGGGAAGGAAAGAGAGGCCAACTGGAAAGGACCACAGAGTGCTGCCAGGGCTCTCAAGAGCTGATCTGCTCTTGGGGTCCACGGAATCCAAGGAGAGCAGGGGCAGGAAGCTTGGGGTGGGTTCCCAGGCTGGGTCCATGGTGCCCCGGCCACTCTGGGATGGCACAGGGCCTGGCCAGCTGCAGTGCTGCTTCTGTAAGAGAACAGCCCCTCCTTCCCGGCCGTGGCTGTGCTGCTGAGGCAGGGGTCGTGGGATTGGCCAGCAAGTGCTTCCAGTCCACCCTTAGGGAAGGCTTGCCAACTGCCGTCCTGAATGCACGGGGCCAACACAGAGTCCAGAATCACCCCGGGAGCTAGGAGTTCTGTGAACTCCAGGCAGGGAGGGTGGGAAGCCAGGGGAGGAGCGTTTGGGGGCACTGCCGGCTGCGGAGCTGCAGCCATGGAGCTCACAGTCTCCAAGAGGGGTTCTGCACACCCTGAGAATTTCTGCTTTCCTCTCTGTCCTGAAATGCACTT